GCGCGGGGATGGGGCTGGCCCCTGCTCCGGGCCTGGAAGGCCAACCCCCCCGGATATTGCAAATGAGGGCCCAGCTGGGGGCTCGATAAAGAAGGACTCCTGGAGGGAGGGGAAACTGCCGGCTGCTCTGGCTAGGGAGCAGTAGGGACCTGACTGCCGGGGAAGCAGGAGGCTTCGTGGAGGCAGAGCAGGGCGGGGAGGCTGGGGCCAAGCAAGCCCCCAGGCTACAGGCCTGAAGCTCCTGGGGTTGCGAGGGGCAGCCGTGGTGGGCAGGGGCAGCAGGTCCACCCCCCTTTGCCAGTGTGAAGTGGCCGCTGCAGACGGCAGGCTGCCCCTGAGGCAGGGGCTAGATCAGGGGTCACCATCCAGTCGATCGGGATCTCCTGGTCGATCTTGGGGCCTCTGACAGGGGATCTTGCCTGGGTTTGGCCAAGGGGATAGCAAAGTGCCACACTTCAGCTGCCCCTCCCCCCACGGCTGCACCTCTCCTGCCCTTCGCCTTGGAGCTGTTTCCTTCTCCACCCTGTTTTTATCGGTGCAGAACAGAGGTGGGGGGCACAACAGGGTCGGGGATGGAGGGAGTTTGCTGGCTGATTTTGAGAGTGCTACCACGCAGCAGCCGTCTGCGGTAAGCAGTGTCCACCTGGAACCTGTATCTGGAGGGTCTGGTGCACCCTCCTGCGCCCCAAGCCCCAGTCCTAGCCCCGAGCACCCCTAGACCCAAACTCCCTTACAGAGCCTGCACCCCAACTCCTGCCCTAGGCTCAGCTCAGCCAGATCCCTGAGCCCAAGACCAGAGCCGGCACCGCAACCCTCTGCCCCTGCCTGATGAAAGGGAGGAAGGATGGGGGAGGGAGGAAGGATGGCGTGAGCGGGGGCGGGGCCTGGGAGAAAAGGTGGAGCCAAGGCATTTGGGTTGGCGGTAGATCCTGGATTGCACTTACATTCAAAAAGCAATCTCATGCTTTGAAAGGCTGGAGACTCCTGGGCTAGATGAAGACTGGCCGTGGGTCACTGAGGCAAGGTGGGGACGGAGGAACTGGGTGCTCCCTGGGAGAACTGGGGGTGCCTGGGGAGGCCCCTGGAGTGCGCAGTGGAGAAACCCCCCCGGAAGGGGGCGCAGAGACTGGAGTGGGCCCTGCCTGAGGGCCGTGTCCTGAAGAGGACGCCGTGGTCGAGAACATGGGGAGTCACATGGGTTCTCAAACTGGGGGGCGTGCGGCGTGAAGAAATTCCAGGGCGGGCATGAGGCAACCCAGCCACCCCCCCATCAAGCCCACCACAAGTTTTGCTGCTATTTTTCTGGGAGGAGGGGTGGGAGGGTTTCTCAAAAATCGAAAAGGGGGCGTGATGCCGAAAAGTTTGGGAACCGCTGAGCTAGAGGGAGGCGTCCAGCCAGCCAAACCAGCCGAGTCCCAGAGCAACCAGCGGGAGGCGCCGTGCTCCTGAGTCTACTCCGTGACAGGTGCTAGCAGACGGGCAACAAAACGGCAAATGAATTGTAAGGGGGATGAATGCCAAGCAATGGCAAGACGCTGCTGGCATACCGGGATTGTTGCTCCAGGCGTGGGGCAAAGAGCAGGAGCTGCTGGTAGGCATGACGGAGCAGGAGTAGACCAGGTGGGGTCCGACACCCAATCAGTTGATGCAAGGAGTATGCGAGGTCCCATGCAAAAAACTTTTCATAGGACCAAAGTTAGGATTCTGAATCACTATTTCCCGTGACCCCTTCTTCCACGTAAACTAGCCCTCAACGAGCATTATTCTTTTATCTCCTACTGCAGCCCTGGGAGATGAATTCACCAGAGATTAACCCTCGCTCCTAGCACGAAGATTAATCCTGAGCAAAGAGGAATGAACTTACCTGCAGGATAAAAGGCCCCTTTCAGACTGAAACCGAATCATCGCATTGCAGGCTTGCACAATGAAAATTCACCAGCTCCGGCACAAAACTGATTTTCCCACTGTCTCCATGATGATAACGAGAGAGCTCATTGGCCGGCCATAAAAAAAGCGTGCTGATCTGCCATAAAATAAAGCTTGTTCAAAGCGAAAGGGGAAGTAAAATCTTGAGGAATGAAATTAAGTTTTTGGATTTCTAAAGGACTTTTAGCTACCGCAGGACAAGTAGAGGGCCCTTTAATAAAGACACCCCACGTGCTCTAAGAAAGACAAGATGCTACTACATGTATTGTTTTGCAATTCTTTGTGCTCCAGTATCTAGAGTGCAAGAGATTCTTCCAGGACACCGATTAGTAGGCTTGCTGGTTGTCGTTTTTTTTTGTTCATGCTGCTTTTTGGTGAAGAATGTTTTCCCTCTCCAAATGGAATTGTCTGGTTTTGATTAAACTGCAGGGGTGCGTCTAGACTGGCAAGTTTTTCCACAAAAGCAGGTGCTTTTGCGCAAAAACTTGCCAGCTGTCTACACTGGCTGCTTGAATTTGCGCAAGAACACTGACTTTGTGATGTACAAAATCAGTGCTTCTCGCGCAAATACTTTCCTGCTCCCACTCAAGAAAAAGCCCTCTTGCGCAAGAATACTTACTCAAGAGGGCCAGTGTGGACAGGGAAGAACTGTTTTGTGCAAAAAAGCCCCGATGGCTAAAAAAGCCGTAGCCGTGTTAGTCTGTAACTTTAAAAATAGTGGCCAATTTTGTGGCACCATAGAGACTAACAAATATAGAGCATCATGAGCGCTTGTGGGTAAAACCTACTTCATCAGATAAGATTTAGGTAATATGTGTTGTTCCTGTCATTGTGGTATCTCAGTTCATCCCAATCCATTTTTAAGAAAATGGAATTGCAGGTACCACAAAATACTTTAACAATAGTGCTAGGAAAAGTAACTGCATGGATGTACCTGCTGCAGCATTTCCCCATGTGGCGTAAAAGGCATTTGACAGTGTGGAGTGGTAATACCTTTCCCTGACACTGAAATAGGGAACTTTGAAGCAGAAATTCACAGCCTATGGAAGAGACCAATATTGTTTTCATTGTATATGCTGATTACTTTCCTTAAACTCACTGATTTCTTTCCCCATCAGGTAAGTCTATGGGTCCGTCTAGACTACGGGATTTTGTCAACAGAGGCTTTGTCGACAGATACTGTCGACAAAGCTTCTGTCGACAAAGAGCGTCTAGACGACATCCAGTTCTGTTGACAAAGCAAGCTGCTTTGTTGACATGAGAGTGCAGACACAAAGGACAGTGTAGACGCAATAATGCCTGCTGTCCACAGAACTCTGTCGACAAAAGGCGTTATTCCTCGTAGAATGAGGTTTACCGCTGTCGACAGAACTCGGTGGCAGTGTAGACGCAGGGATAGTTTTGTCAACAAAACCTTGTAGTCTAGACACACCCTAAAAGTCCCCAAACAGGAAGAACATTTCTGATAACCAAGGGCTCTGTGTTTTAGAAGACAAAGCACACTATGGGTGTGTCTAGACTACAGGGGTTTGTCGACAAAAGTGGACTTTTGTCGAGAAAACTATACCTGTGTCCACACTGCCTTTGAGTTATGTCAACATAATGTCGACAAAACTCAGCAGTTTTGTTGACGTATGTAAACCTCATTCTACGAGGAATAACGCCTTTTATCGACAGAGTTCTGTCGATAGACGGCATTATTGCATCTACACTGTCCTTTGTGTCTGCACTCTCATGTCAACAAAGCAGCTTGCTTTGTCAACAGAACTGGATGTCGTCTAGACGCTCTTTGTCGACAGAAGCTTTGTCGACAATATCTGTCGACAAAACCCTGTAGTCTAGACGTACTCTAAGATTCAACAGCTGGAAAGATTTTAAGTCCTGGCTTGACCAAGACCTGGCTGGGATTATTTAGTTGGGGTTGGTCCTGCTTTGAGCACGGGGTTGAACTCGACCTCCTGAGAATCATAGGGTTGGAAGGAACCCTATGATTCTATGCAAGGTATATAATCATAAAGCAGTTTGAAAATGCCAATTAATTTTCATGGAAAATGTTGATAATAAATGATATTTGAAAGACAAATTTCTCCAAAATGTGACTTTTTTTGTTGAAAAAACCAAGCTGTTTGTGGTGTAAAGTTTTAGCTTACCGGTAGGCTAAAAAAAATTGCAATTCAAAACCAAAGAGCCATTTCTTTTTACTTAACCAAAAGCAAGCATCAAAAGGAAACATTTTACCCAACCATGAACACTCTTTACTAAACAGCAAACTAAAGAAACATTTTTGAATTGAAAACCCCACATTATAACTATAAAACGAACAGAAAATTGAAAACTTTTCACTGAAAAAATGAACGTTGTTACTAAAAAAAGAGATGGACAAATCGCAAATATTCCCAAGGCTTTTTTCTACTGGAAACCTCCCCCCTACCCATGAAACTTAGACCATCATGAACATTTTCACGTGAATGAAAAGCTGTTCTTCATCAAAAATATGTCTCGATGAAAATGTTTCCACACATTACTGATTAGTAATGGAAGAATTTGCAGGGGTGCTACCCAAACACAGCTGGGTGGGGTGGACCTGATCGGAGGAAGACTCCCTCTCTCTGAAAAACGGAAGGTGCATCGTTATCTCTCTGCCGGCTCTGAAAAAGTTAATGAACTTGGGTCCAAATCGATAGAGCAGGTAATGAACTGGGTGCAGTGAAGTTCCGCCCCTTCACTGCTGCGTAGCCAATCAGGTGCAGCCCTGTCCGTGACCCCTCTAGATATAAATTAGCACTGACCCCATGCAACCTTCAGTCTTTTCCAACCTGCAACAGCTGACGACGAACTTCCACATTCTCCACCGGCGCTGCCGCAATGTCTGCCATCTCTAGAGACACGAAGTACAGGAGTCCAACCACTGCTTTCAGCAGCCGCTCCTACGCCTCTGAGGGCTCCCAGTCCTATGCCATCTCCACCCCCAGTGGTATCAGGTTCACAGGAGCCTGGAGCCCCACGCTGAGTGGTAGAGCCGTCATCAAGGGAAATCATGGAGCAGAGAGCCCCATCAAAACTGGGCTTGACCCAGAGGTCCAGCACGTGAAAATTCAGGAGAAGGAGCAGCTCAAGCATCTCAACCATAAATTCGCCCACTTTATCGACAAGGTAAGCCGGGGATCTACTACCTCCGAGTGCCCTGCCTTGGAGAGATGGCGCCGGGCGGTGAAAGAGACCAGCAGAAACCGATATCTCGGTCACGGTTATCAGCAGAGTCAGCGGAGGCAATAAAGCTGGTTTAATCATTGTGAGGCGGGTGGGGAAGCAAGATGGTATGAAGGGGGGTCAGCTGGTACAGCTCATAAAAGAAGCTCGCTGGGTCTTATCTGGGGCTCCAAAGGTCGCACCATATGGGACGCTTGCAAGCACACCCACCCCTTGGCGCACGGCCTGTTTGCATTTGCTAGCGCGCTGGGACGAGTCCCTTTTGGGGTGCTCCGCTTGAAATGCCCGAAAGCGACTTGAATGGCAGAGGTGATCTGGGATGAAACGGGCCCGCTAACAGGTGTTCGATTGGCCAGCCAAAATCACTAGGCAACTTTGGCAAATTTAGGCTCAGGTCTTCCAAACAGCGGGGGGAGGATCTGGACCTAGACTTTATAGGACTCAACGAGGGAGACAAAAGAGGCTTCAATCTAGACGGTACTAGGTCCTGCCGTGAGGGCAGGGACTGGACTCGGTGGCTCTCGAGGTCCCTTCCCGTTCTAGTGTGCTAGGATTCGATGATTCCCTGAACTACGTAAGCACGGCCAGACGGGGTCAGACCAAAGGTCCTTCCAGCCCAGTGTCCTGCCTTCCGACGGCGGCCAGTGCCAGCTGCCCCAGAGGGAATGAACAGAACAGGGAATCATCCTGCGATCCCTCCCCTGTCGCCCATTCCCATCTTCTGGCAAACTGAGGCTAGGAACACCCTCCCTGCCTGTCAGGGCCGTCCTTAGGGTTTATGAGGCCCTACCCTGCTGCCCCTGTGCCCGACGGCAGCTGGCGAGGCCCTACCCTGTACTATTCAACTGCTGCCCCTGTGCCCGACGGCAGCTGGGCGGGGGAGGGTTTTGTAGAGCTGAGTTTTTGATCATCTTCAGCCACCCGCCAATGAAATATTTTACGGTACATTTGAAACGAAGGTCCCGTCGACTCCCACTGTGAATTCAGACACCGACAATCTGTCCCTGGGGTTGGGAAATGCCTTGAAATGGGTTCATAGTCACTGGAACGGCTCTTCCAGAGGTTCAGGGATAGCGCAGGCTGGCGTTGTTACTTGTAAATTCACTAGCTCCTCTCCGGAGGAAGCCGAGCCACAGAACAGGGCTAGGAAGAGGCAGCTGGGTGGACATTAAGACCCAGCGGTGCCCCACGTTTTCAGGGGTCCTACTCAGCTGCATATTCTGCGCATGGTTAACGAGGGCCCAGCTGCCCTTCTTCGCTAATAGCCATTGATGGACCTAGTCAATATGCCTTGCTCCCGTTCTCCAAGTGAACGTGTCCCGTGGCCGCCTAGGGAAGCGAGTGAGGTTTGTCTTGTTGCAATAATGCTCCATGAAGCAGCGACAGATTAGAACCTAGCTGGTACGTACTTAGGAACCGGTTCTCCTCCCAGGGAACTATGGGTTAGCACAGTAGAGAAGAATGGTTTGTTGCCCTCGGCTGGACTTTCTCCAATGTGTCCACATCCTTTCTGTAACGGGGGGCCCCAGAAGTAGACACAATGCTCCAGATGTGGCCTCACCAGTGCAGAATAAAGGGGAATTATCACTTCCCTAGCTCTTCAGGAGATACTCCTCTTGGCTACAAGGGCGCCCTGTTGACTCATCTCCAGCTTCTCATCCACTGGAATCCCCAGCTCCTTTCCTGCCATGTGGCTACGTAGCCAGCCGGTCCCCAGCTTGTCACAATGCTTGGGATTCTTCCGTCCCAAGGGCAGGACTCTGCTCTTCTCCTTGTGGAACCTCATCAGATTTCTTTTGGCCCAATCCTCCTATTTGTCCAGGTCACTCTGGACCCTTCCCTGCCCTCCAGTGTATCTACGTCTCCCACAGCTTAGTGTCATCTCTTGGAAATCCCCCGTTATATCACCCCCATGATAATGCCACTTTCCACTGCTGAAAAGGGCTTCTGAGGATTAGCCTCAGATGTCTGAGGACGCACACTCCTCCTCCCTCCAGGTCCGCATGCTGGAGCAGCAGAACCAGGTGTTGAAGACCAAGTGGAGCATCTTGCAGAGCCAGAAAACTGGCCCCAGCAACATGGAAAACATGCTCAAGGCGTGGGTCGGCAGCTTGCAGAAGCAGCTGGAGGGCTTGGGGCAAGAGAAAGCCAGCCTGGAAGCCGAGCGGGGCAACATGGAGGACCTAGTGGCAGAGTTCAAGACGAAGTGAGTCCAAAGCACACAGAGGCCACTGGGGACGTGGTAAAGATTCCAGGCGAGGCGCGCACATTCAGCCCTGTCGCTGCAGGGGGAGGGATGAGAGAAGAGCCGCCCTTTTCTAAACAGCCCAGCATTCAGTCACTAAAGGGTTAAACCCAGACAAGTGGGCAGGGCGCCAGGAGAACCAATGGGAAGAGATGGTGGAGATTTGAATTGAAAGGTGGGAGTTCAAAGCAGGTGGTGCGCGGGGGAGATGAATTGAAGCAGGCAGGGACATCCTACCTGGAAAAGGAATCCCTGTGCCTAGAACCGGACTGGACCTTGGCAGTACGGGCATGTGAGTAGATAGGGAATGTTTCATTAGATGAACCAGGTGATTTTCTCTGGTTTGTAGTTTGGTTAAATTCCTCTGTGCTGAGTCCATGTGCCCCCCCCCCCACACTGTAACTAAAGCGACCCCCCAGGAAGCAATTCTCTGGGCTTTAAGCTGCATTTTCTTAGTTGCTCTACAAAACCTAGCGACCAAGTATATCGTTTGGTTTGGCTAAAAATCACCCTTTTTAAGTCTATGCTCTGATTTTTGTGCCCTGGAAGGTAAGAGGAGGTCTGTGTACACATGCCCTAGACGGAGAGGGCAGCTCTCGGAGGTTACAGGGGTATTTCAAGCGCTTTGGTGGTAAAAGAGCTTGGGGTAACACTCTGGAAGACGTTCCCAAGTGAATCTTGCTGGATTCGAGAATTTTTTTTTCACATGGGGGATGGGACCCTCCCTCCCAAGGTCAGGGAACCTGTGACCTTAAAAGCCTCTAGAGGCAAGAGGTTTGTTAAGGTCTCTCGCGGGCCTCAACTCCTGCACTCAAAGAGCTCGGATACGGAACAGCCTTGACCAACAGCTATGGAAGAAGGAGGGTGTAGAGGTAAAACCTCTTAAAGGGATACTGCTGCCTCCTTCAAAGCTTTGTTAAATGACTAGAGGCAGCGCGTACACGTCGTTCTTCACTCTCCTCTCCTGTTCAGATGGACGCAGTCCATTATTTCAACCAGCAAATTTGCGTTACGGTTTAGGGTGTGTCTAGACTACATGGCTCCGTCGACGGAGCCACGTAAATTAGTTTATTTGGCATCGTCAAAGAAGCGGGGATTTAAATAAAATAAACATGGCCGCCATGCTGTGCTGACGATCGGCTGATCCGGCACAGCGCGGCAGTCTAGACGTGATGCAGTCGACAAAGGAAGCCTTTTTTAACCGCTCCAGTAAACTTCGTTTCACAAGGCAAACCAGAGTGGTCAACAAAGGATTCTCTTGTTGACCGTGCCATGTCTAGACTACCGCACTGTGTCGGATCAGCTGATTGTCGGCACAGCACAGCGGCCATGTTTATTTTAATGATGCGGGAATTATTTAAATCCCCGCTTCTTTGACTATGCCGAATCAACTAATTTACATGGCTCCATCTACGGAGCCATATAGTCTAGACGCACCTGTCCCCGCTCAGTGGGGTGAAAGCGTCTTTTGCTCACAGTCACCTCGTGTCTTAACCCAATAGAACTGGGAGACGATTTCTGTTTGAACCTCGATCTGGGGATACGACAGCTCACCGCGTGGTGAATTTGGGATGGCTTTGCCGATTTGGCTGGGAACCTAATGGGGAAAAAAGTGGAACCCGTTGCGTTTGAGGGTTTCGCAGCCTTCCAGTGTCGAAAAGTCCATGAGTTTCATTTGAAAAGCAGCGCCCCCTGTAGGTTTCCTGGCCCTGGTGCGCCCCCCGAGTTGGCACAATGCTGCACCTGTGCAGATCCGGACTAACCCCATCACATCCGCGTTGGACCCTTCAGTATGCTTGAAGCCAGCCCTGCCCCACAAGGACCTGGTGCTCCCAGCCCCCCCCGCTTGCACTGACTCCAGCTGGGGCTTGGGGTGCTCTCATGGTCCCCACATTTCCTAGCTGCCATCAGAGGCATCCTACCGTGCACTGATCCCGTCGCTCCTGCTCACAGGTTCGAGGAAGAAATCAACAACCGGGCTGAGAAGGAGAACGATTTTGTCCAGCTGAAGAAGGTGAGTCCCACGGGAGCAGAGCTAGGCAGCGAATGTGACGCTTTGTTTATTACTAGTGGGTTTCCCCGGCGCTGCTCGGCTCCTTAACTCAGATCAGTTTGGTTTTTCATTTCAAGCAGTGCTCCGGGGTGGGGCAGGGGAGGAGGGGTGCAGGCTGCCTAGGGGGAGAGGACAGCCCCATCCCTCTCCCACTGCAGCAGCGTGGGGCCAGGTGAGACACGCCTCTCCAGCGGGCATAGCTAGGGGAGCACCGCATGTCCCCTGGGAGCGGGACAGACACGCAGACCAACAGACACACAAACAAACTCTGAAATATATAGGAGATAGCCGTCCTTGTCTCCACCTCTGCCCCCTGCTGGCCCAGCGGGGTTATAGCTGCCCCAGTCCCCATCTCTGCCCCCTTGCTGCCCCCTTGTGGTCATTCCGCAGTATAACTGTCCCTCCTACCAGACCCCTCCCATTCCATTTTATGAGAAACAATCCAATTCCAGGCACGTCCCATTGTCCTGGCGCAATGAAACCCTGACATGGCTTTAAGTTAGGAGAACAGGAAGCTGCCTGCCAAATTGGGTGGTCCTAGCTCTGACAGGGTAGGAGGAGTTCTTGACCCCACAGCCTCACAGATAGATGGCTGGACAGTCGGACAGACACACACACAAACGCTCCCAAATATACAGTAGATGAGCATTTGTGGTAGATCCCTAGAAGCCCAGACATGGCGGAGGACTCTATTGTGCTAGGCGCTGGACAAATGTGGAACGAAAAGATGGGCCCCTAACTCCCAAGAACTTCCAAGCTTAGTAAGCAGGGTTGGGCTCTGAATCCCGCCCCCGGGACTCTTTTCTCAGGATCTGGACGAGGACTATATCAGCAGGCAAAAACTGGAGGTCAATGCGCAAAGTCTGACCGACGAAATCAACTTCCTGACCCAGCTTTATGCCAAGGTACGTGTCTGTTCTCTGCCCGGTCTACAGCAAACTCCCAAGAACTTCCAAGCTTAGTAAGCAGGGTTGGGCTCTGAATCCCGCCCCCGGGACTCTTTTCTCAGGATCTGGACGAGGACTATATCAGCAGGCAAAAACTGGAGGTCAATGCGCAAAGTCTGACCGACGAAATCAACTTCCTGACCCAGCTTTATGCCAAGGTACGTGTCTGTTCTCTGCCCGGTCTACAGCAGCCGTTCTCAACCCTTTCGGCCCGCGGCCCCCGCGGCTCCACGCAGGCCCCCCCC